GAGAAGTTTGTTTCCTTCTCCATTAATTGTAGAGAAGCAAACACAAGGCAGCCAAGTTTGGCCTTTTTGTGCATCATCTTGCAAGTATAAATGTTACTGTGTGATATTCGCTCCTGCCTGGAAGATGGGAAGATGCTGACAATATTTATGTCACAATTGTATGCATTTAATAAGCATCTCATTTGAATTATTACTTAATGTACAGATCCCCCAAAAATATTTTTATGTTATAAATCCCATAATTTATCTAAGTATAAGCTGCAAGTTTGTAAATACAGCATTAAGAAGGTAGCTATTGCATAGATGGTTTAACAAAATATCCTTTGTGAGTAAGATATATAGGCTTATCTGGAGAGTATTTAGCTACTGGGTGGAGGTCTTCTCCAAGTTAAGTGATACGCTTCTTAGTTTGCCCTTCTTGTGAGTAGAAATCAGTCAGACCTGTATTGTCTGATTCCAGTATCTCCTCAGCCCATTGTTCACTAAAGGCAGATTTATAAAACTTCTGTACAGGGATGAGGCTGGAAGTGACATTTTGACTGAAAAGAGAGCTGGATTAACAACTGGTATGCCAGTACACTTGTTGGAGAGGCCACAGTGAAACAGCCTGAGAAGGCTTGTAAGCCACCTTCTGCTTCCCTTGCCTGCTGGACAAGGTGTGCAGTGACATGGGGACATTGCTGATGTACCAAAGTGCAGGCCAGTACTGCACTGGGAGAGCCAGAATAATGCAGCAAGGATGCAGACTCTGCAGTTAGGTAATGCTGAAGGTTGGAGCTGTTATGCATAGAAGCCTTTTTTCCCTTTTACTGTATCTTCTGTTACGACCAGGGTCAGGCATGACAGTCTGTGGAGCTAATGCTCTGTGAGGGCTGCTTTGGACACATACAAAGTGAAAGACTATGTTGCATTTTTGTGTGTGTACATACACAGAGAAATTGCAGAAAAAAAAATGTGAACTGAGAAAAGTATGATTAACAGTGCCCTTATCAAGAGCACTTGCTGACTGCTTGTCTGTTGCTGACTGACTCTGCAGATTAAATTTGCAAGAACAGCAATAAGGAATATGATGGGAGAGAACTTAACTTCAAAGAAACTCAGCAGCCAGTACTTCGGATGTTTGAGTTACATCTGAATCAAGGTTTTGATTAAATCTTAGTAATGTCAAAAGCTCAAAGCAGCAATTGTAATTGGTGTCTCTTCCTCCCCATATTGCCAAGCTGTCTCTTGCCATGTGCAGCGCATCCATGTCAGTCCATTAAACTTGTGTGCAAAGAAGGGAGGAGATGAGGCAATAAGGCCACAGGACAAGCAGTATGTAGCCAGGCATATCTCCTTGGCTTCGTTCACTCTTGTTGGGTGTTTTCTAAAAGTGTTTCCAAATCTGTGTTAAATTGATTCCAGATGTGCTCATTTGAAGGCTAAAGTCATGCTAGCACCAAGACTGCATTCTGTGCTGTACCTGAATAGATGACTAGTCCCATCTTAAAAACAGAAGTGATATAAACAGTAAAAAGGCCACAGACAAAGGTTTTAGTGCTTCATTCCCATTAGCATCCTTTCTCCCCAGGTATTTCAGACTAACATAGTTAGAGAATTCCTCTGGTGGCCCAGCACACTGAATCAGAGGTGCCTGATAGGAGGTGGGTCGCTTGTCTGGGCTGTCAGGACTGGATCCATCCGTGGGCCTCTCGCCAACGTAGAGCAGGCTGTGGTCTGTCGTGTCTTGCTCCGTTTTGAAAAGTTCATACTCCGTGTGGGGCAGCCTGATGCCCAAAGCCAAACATCCATTTGTGGGTGTTATGTCCTGCTCCACCCCAGCACTCCAGGAGCTTGTCAGTCCACAGCTTCCAGGTTCTGAGGAGTTCAGCATCATCACAGTCACCTGGTCCATTGGTGTCACCCGAGCCTGCGTGACTTTGAAGGCCAACTCTGTCCCACCCCTCACTTTGGAAGAGGGGATTCCTTGGGTGTAATGCCCAGATGCATAAATGGTGAAAGTCGGCTGTTTGCAGAGTGGGTCAGAGTAGTGATAGTAATAACCTTCCCAGGTGTGGTTGCTACCATGGAATATGAAGTACCTGGTAAGGAAAAGCACGGCGGGTCGGCCCTCGCAGTGGGTGCTCCCCCAGCTGCCACTGAGCTGCATTGGCAGCTGGGCTCTGAGGGGCAGGATGGGTGGGTGGTGTTCATCAGCTCTGTAAATAATCCCACAGGCTGGGCAAGGATGCATGTGGTGCTGCAGAAGACAAAAAATATTACCCTTTCAGAATATTTTTAAAAGCTGAAAACTCCTCTTGCCTGCACCAGGGTGTTCAACTGCCATGAACCTGGCCCAAGACATTCAAGCAGATTAAGTGAGATCAAGTGCTGCCCTGGCTCTTTGCTATTCTGGGATCCTGGAAAGAACAGACAGCTCTGTGCCCTGGGGCTGCCGTGTGCCAGGGCAGCCGTGTGCCAGGGCTGCTGAGGAAGCAGAGGGCGAGGGCAGAGCTGCTGTACGGGCAGGGAACACTCCCTGGGGCCATCCAGGTTGTTCCCCTACAAGGTTTCCACTGCTTTCCTGAGCTTTGCTTCTCTGCCTGTGCCTGCTGCACAGCTGAGTCCAACCAGTCACATCCAAGGCCAAGAGGCTTTTTTTTGTTGTTTTGTTTTGGTTTTTGTGGGTTTTTTTGTTTGTTTGTTTTTTGGAGCTTATAACTATTTCTTATACTTCATCTTTCACAACTGATTTATTTTTAAATAACCAGGGTTTGAATTGTATCATTTTCTAAAAGGCAAGCTGATCTCTACTGAACTGTCGCAGGCAACAAGGTGAAATAACTCAGTAGTTAACTGTAGGGTGGGTAATTTACATGCAAGTTGATTGGAGTCTACTGTAATTTAGTCATTTTCAGCTTGCTTTACTGCTACTGTCACACTAATGAGTGCTGACAGTACACAGCACATTATGGCTAAATAATCCCAGAAGTTGGCAAATATATGTGCTCTCCTTAGACAGGAAATTCTTTGATAATGAAAGGTAATTTGGGGAGAATGGGTCTCTTTAAAACAGATATAAATTTCAGGGGAAAAGAGTGATATTTTCATAAAGAGAGTTGAAAATAATTCCTAACATAGCTGTGTAACCCTCACTAGTGCAAGTACATGGATGCTGGTTCAGGAAAAAAAGAAAAAGCCTGTGCCCAATAAAATTACCACTATAGACATGGAGCCAAAAATCTTACTTGCTTAAACCAGTCCTGTGAAGTTATTTTGAATGTATGGCAGCTTCTAATTATCACCAAGTGGTGACATCATGTGCTGGTCCATTGGAGAGCTGTTAGCTGATTAATTACAGTGCTCTATTCAGAGAGTGAATTTCAGTATCTTTAGCTTTGGTTTTAAGTTAACTTTTTAAAGTGTTTATGTTTACCATCTGGTTTTGCTCATATATATGGTTTTGGCCCAAGATAACACAAGTTTAACCAATTTGACAATGTTACTTTTGATGGGGAGAGGGGTGTTGCTCTGCTTTTCAGAGTTCAGTTGGTGTAGTTTGGGGTGCGGGGAAATGTTGCCCCCAAAATAATTCTTTTTCAGTTAATTCAATTCTATCTGGTAAAGTTCAGGGAGGCTTTTTTTTCACCCCATCTCACTGCTCAATCATTTCTGAACTGATTAGCTAGGATTCAGATAGGAATGTGCTTTCATGGAAACAAAGTAACCTAAAATAAAATGCAACTAAGCCTCCTGCTCAGTTTTATTTATGCCAAAGTTTGATTTCAGTGTAATAACATAATTTGTATTCAGGGCAACTTCTCTTCTAATGGCATTACACCAAGGAGTAATGATTTCATGGCTGATGTTGCTTCCTCACTCCTCTTTCAACCTGGAGGACACAAGTGAAAGGGCAGGGAGGAAGACAAGTGACAGAGCAGGCGGCCTCTAATGGTGTGTAGCTCAAAGCATTCACTAGCTTTGGTGCAGGAAAGCAGGAAACTGTATTTCCTAGGAAAACACAGAACCAAAGAAAAGCCATGAACTCCAGGCCCATGCCAAGGCAGGCTTGTTTCTGATGTTGGTTTTGCTGAGCTTCCACCCATTCCACTCTCCTGGTAAGGGACAAAATGACCCCCAGTGCTGTGGAGCACCTGGGCAGCACCGTGAGAACTCGCACCCCCAGCCTTACACCTCACCCACCTATCCTTAGGACAGAAGGGGCCCATGTGCAGGCAGGCAGAGTTTTACCAGTCAGGAAATAACCCACGCTTAGCAAAGCCCATGAACTGATGAAGGCAGCACGTAAAGACACGGTCCTTACCACAGCGCTCTGCATAGGCCGCTGGTAACCGGTGGGTCGGTAGTGGAGCCTCTCCACCCACTGGGTGTGAATGTCCCCCAGGTACAGCTCCTCCACCAGCTGGCTCCCGCTCTGCTGCGGCTGCAGCAGGGGCTGGTAGTGCCTCTCCACCCGCACCAGGCTCAGCTCGTGCATGGCGAAGCCCAAGGCAGCCGTGCAGTCGCGCTCGGTCTTGGCGCTCAGCAGTTCGTAGAGGGCTCCGGGAACCCAGGTGCGTCCCGGGGGCAGGAACCCCCTGCAGCCCTCGCCGGATGTCTGGTTGATCCAGGAGGCCACCTCCTGCATGGCTTTCTGGCTGTGGAAAACGATGCCGACCTTGTGCAGGTGGTAGTCGGCCTCGGTGGCCCCGCGCGTGATCCAGGAGGCCTGGCGCAGGCGAAGCCTGCCCTTGATGACCAGCGAGTAGGAGGGGTCGCGGCAGGAGGGGTCCCAGTAGTAGAACTGGTAAGCCTTGAAGAGGCGGTTGGCGTAGAAGAGGTAAGAGCGGGTGAGGAACTCGGGTCCTGGCCGCACCTCACACCTGGGGGAGAAGGTGGTGCTGAGCCCCCCGCAGCGCGTGGCGGGGAACACAGGGTGACACGGCCCCCCAGGGCACCCGGGGGGGTGGGAGAAGAAGGGTGAGCATGGCTGGGAGCAGCACTGTGGGCAGAAGCCTCCCCCACCTTGGGTGACGTTAAGATCTGGGCATCTGCTACCAGAATATGGCAGCTCCCGATAAAGGGTCTCGGAATTCGTGCCACATCTCCAGGGAGGAATGCGGGGGCTCAGCAAGGCTGCTCTGCCCAGGGAACCCAGGTGTGCTCATCAGCTGCACCCA